TCGGATTGTTGAGGCTGTGGCAGTGGCTGCGGGAGGTGGCAGAAGGGAGACTGGCTGACTTAGGACGTCAGTGTGGCTCCTGCGGGCAGGCTCCCAGTCCTGTTTCTTGGGATGTTACCAGGCATGGTCTTTGACACCAGGGGGCAGATATTTGCCCAGGTCTGACCAGGTCGGTCCCTTGTTCACCAGGCCACTGCCCAGCAGAGCTCAGTGACCACACCCCAGGCAGCGCTGGGTCAGGTAGGAGGGAAGGAGCTCCACGCCAGTCACCGGTCGTGATCCACACAGGCTGTGCTGGGCCGTGCTGGGCCCGGGCCCCCAGGGGACCGTGTGTAGCAGCACAAATCACATTACCTCCTGCCAGAGTGTGTGTGCGACTGGCCTGCACAGACACAACAGCAGCGCTCTGAGGCCGGCCCCTGGGCAGAGCGCCCACCAGATGCTCCTGGCAGCTCTTCTGACCTGATTGGAACCTCCCGGGCCTTGGGTGTGGGGTCGCGCAGTGCAGTTCAGATGACCAGGTCTCCATTCCTGTGCAGCGTGGGCTGGCTGCTGGGTGGACAGCCTGTCTGCCCAGCCAGCATTTCTCCTTGGCTGGAAGGATTTCTGACTCCAGCCACACAGTCCTCTGGGTCTATGGACCGTCCTTACTTAGTACAATGAGACTTCAAACAACCAGCCCGCAGCCAGTCAAGGCTTGTGGGACTGGAGGGTGCTCTGTGTCATGGTTAGAGGTGAGGCCACGGTGTGCAGCTGGCCAGGACTGGCAGCATTTTGGATCTGATGCACACGGACCCGAGCCTCTTAGCCATTAAGACTCAGAAGACCACCGACCCTTCGGGGTTGTTGTGAAGATTAAGGAAGCCTGTATGCAACTGTCTCCTGTTCTCTCAGCAACTCCGTGAGGGCTGCTGCCCGTGCCCTCCTGCAGTGAGTGAAGGACGGGCATCCTGGCAGAGAGGCACCTGGGGACCAGCAGGGTGGCCTCTTGTGTGGTCCTGAGGAGTGGGCTGTACTGAGCATAGCACTGCCTTTAAGAGATTGCTCTAGGCTCTTTCTGAGCTTCAAGTTCAAAGGTCAATCCCCCTATAACTGACAGGCCAAAAGGAAAATAAGTTGGGGCCTGGCAGCCACACATACCGCGGCTGAAACCACCAAGGCCAACCTCTAACAGGTGGGGAGCTGTGACCCTTACAGTGTCCGCTGTGGCTGCACTGTCCTCACCACTCAGAGTAGGGCAGTCATACTAGGCTCAGTTTTTGTTGTTGTTGTTAACCCTTACCTGAGGATATTTTTTTCTCACTGATTTTTAGAGAGAGTGGAAGGGAGGGAGAGGAGAGAGAGATTATTCGATTGAGACACGCTGATTGGTTGCCTCCAGCACGTGCTCTGATTGGGTCAAGGATAAAACCTGAAACCTAGGTATATGCCCTGACTGGGAATCAAACCCATGACCCTTTGGTGCAAGGGCCAACACTCTAACCATTGAGCACACCAGCCAGAGCATATTGGGTTCTTAACCGGAAGCCTTGATGGTGCAGAAGAAAGGGTGAGGCCTGTGTCCTCAGAAGCTGATCCCGCCATTTTCAAGCCTGGAGGCCTTGGGCAAGTTACTGAAAGACTCCTGGAGTCTCAGCTCCTCCATCTGTTGAATGGGAAAGACACCCCTACCCGTCGCAATAGTAAGTGATGGTCAGTGTTGCTTGTCTTTCCTTCCTGGATGGAAACACGCAGGCTCCAGGGGACACTGCTTCTTTGGCAGAAAAATGACTGAACAGCTCCAGCTCCCAACTCCAGGGTGTCAGAGGGGAAGGGTGACGTGGGGGAAAAGTCATTTTAGGACCTGAAGCTGCCTAAGCAGAGACAGCGGAGTGTAACTGAGAGAATGAAATCCAGCAGCATCGGAGCCCTGGCCCCGCCACTTTCGAACTGGATGCTGGATGACCCTGGGACACTTTCTGAACCTGAGTCCCCATTCTGTGAAGGAGAAGCCAACACCAACCTAAGAGGCCCAGAACTGGAGAGGAGTGTGTGTCAGTCTAACTGGCCTCTGACCCCAGCCCTGCGGCCCGATCCCTACCAAGACCAGCTCTTACCCTCGGGAGTGTTCCGGGCAGCCCCTCAGCCGCTCTGAAAAACGGGAGTAGCTAAGAGTTCTTGGGGAGAAATAGTCACTGACTCCCAATTAGCTAATGTTAACTGGAAAACAGAGGGAAAGCGTTTCTGAAGTGTCCTCCCAGTCGCCATCAAATGGTTTTCAGGGGCCAGGGCACTTCCTGTCGGTTCAGTTGGAAAATTAAACAGAGGAAAAAAATTCACTTTGGGAATTCAAGGCAACAAGACTCAGCATCGGATTCCCGTGAAAGGCCTCTTCAAAATCCTGAGCAGCTCACACCTCATAGGTTTTCAAAGATAATGTTGAATGAATGGATAGACAAGTGGACAGATGGACATCGTCTGGAAGGGAAGAAATGGCTTCAGGGATGGACTGGCCGGGAGCTGGCAGCCGATGCTATGGCCTTGATGATTTCCAGGCGCGAGCAGCTTGCTGCAGGAAGCTGTGGAGACCATCTTTGTCTTAATCAGCTCCATCTCACTGTCCACAATGTTGGTTACTTAATGTGCTGTTTGGAAGTGAGAGCTGGGCAAGAAGTCAGGAGGATGGAATCTCTCCTCCACTTCAAAGATCCCACATCTCTTTCTGTCACCCAAAATCCTCTACGCTTCCGATGCACTTAGATGTCCCCAGTAGAGACAACCATCCGTGATTCAAGAAAATCCAGGCCAGACTAAAGGGCCAGGCACTGATCTGTGTGCCCAACACGGAACCATCCGCAACAAAGGCCCATTAGGAAAGGCTTCTGCCTGCTGGCTTGTCTTCTCGTGTCTCCCAGCACAATGCTGACAGATTGGGGGAGCTGGGTTCTTTCCTCCCCAGAACAATATTTTATGAGGAGTCTGTTTTATTAAAATATTTTCCGCTGGATGCTTCCTGTGTTTTAAGAACTTGGTCTTGCCAGCTGGAGCCGATGACAGTTGAGAAAAACACATCCAAGTGCTGTTGTGACAGGGCATGTGGAAGTGGAGGAGCGAGGCGGTAGAGAGGGGGGCAGCATGGGAAGAGACACAGGAAAACACCCGGCTGCACCAGCAATGCCACTGGCATTATGGGAGAACACCCCACCCCACCACTAAAAAATGTGAACAGAAACTCTTGGAACGGCGTTACAAAGTGTACCTCTTTATCTGTGATGTGTGGCCACAGAGAACCCGTCACTTGTTGTTTATCGCTGCCAGTTTGCCAACCCACTAAGCCAGCCCCCATGCCACCAGTGGTTCATTTCATGTTTCTTGAACAGAAATCTAAAACGAGGCATATTGCAAAAAGAAACAAAAAGCAGTATCAACATGGTTCTGGGCACAACCAGGAGGATGGGATTACCAGACACGGGCTCTTTGGCACACACTAGAGGCATCCTGCCACCATGAGAACAGAGGCGATTAGGAAGCCCAACCTTTAACCGGGAACCTGGCCACGAAGTGGGTGATGCTTGCCTGCAGAACGTGCAGTGATGTTGACCCAGGGTGGCTCTGTGCGGGGCGGGGATATTCTGGGCCACACTTCAATATCTACAGGCCCAGAGCCCTGTACCGCAGTGCAGTGGCTAAAAGATTTAGCCCAGATTTAAAGTGGTGGCTTTAAAGAAAAGTGACTGATTTCATCCCCCTAAGGAGAAATCTTTTGGGTCTGAGGAACTCTGATGCCATGCAGCATTTTCTCCACAAGGGGGCAATCATAATCCATGCCAGGCATGGTCAGGGACCTATTCCCACTGTCCTATTGTCAGAGCAAAAGTTAAGCCTACACCCAACTTCAGGAGTCCTCTCTTCCAAATTGTTTATAACCAAGCATCTCACAAGACAGACAGGCAGACAGGCAGACAGACAGACAGACACACACACTCTCTCGCTCTGTCTCCTACAGCCTTCTGGGGAAGGGTTGAGGCTGCCTGAGTAAGCCAGTTCTATAAGACGCAACAGCCTCAACCAACACCCAGTTGTAAAGAGAGAATCCTGGAGGAGGGGAAGTGCATTGTAACCTGGGTTCGGCCAGGGCCCACCATCTCCCTAAACTTCTCCCGCCGAAAACTCTTCTGAGAGGAGAGCAGACATGAGGAGTGTTCCCTCTGCACCCAAGGGACTTTAGGGTCCTTGGGGCAATGTTTTAAGTTTCCCAAATCACCCAACCAAGAGGGACTCATGTACTTTCTCAAGGAATCACGGGAAGCTAGTGTGCAGCGGCTCAGCTGTCTGGGCAGGGACCCAGGGCTATGCTCTTGGGGATCAAGGGAAGCAGTGCACCCTCTGATGGAAGCAGTAGTCTCTTCTCCAGTTAGGGGCTGCCCAGTTCAAGCATCACCCATCCAGGCAGCTCTGCCCACTGCTTGGACACCTGCCTCATAATTTACCTCATCTACCTACCATCTACCCAGCAAGAGACTCCAACGTGGGTCCTATGCTGCATATAAACCTTAGTGCCTGCCCTGAGGACCTCTGGGCCCGAGGGGAGGTGTTAAAGCAAAGCTGAGGCATAGGGCGAGCAAAGTGGGGTGGAGCAGTGGGGAGGACAGTCCTGTGTATGAATCTGGGCTCCTGAGCCTTCAAGTGCCCCAGGTCTAGGAGGCTAGAGACCCTTGTTAAGTCACCTTGACCAGGTTCCTAACTCTCCTCTTGACCATCAGAAAAGGCCTGGAACCTTCTCCTGACCCTGTCCCTGTGGGCATCACCGGTCAACACCCAGCCCAGGTGGCTGGCTCTTTGGCCTCTGGGGCCTTCCCACTGTTGTGACAACGGCCAGCAGAAACAGACACTGAGACCAAACCCTGCTCCGGAACCTCCTAGGGAAGCCTTCCGAAGGCCAGGGCTGCGGCGCAGGCCCCCCCAGCGCTGGCCCCACTGGGGTTCCTGCAGAGAGAGGGGAGGGGAGCTGCGGTACTCACTGCTCCTGGCTCGGGACGGACGGCCTCCGGCCTTCCACTGCGATGTTGCTCTTCGGTCTCCTGACGACATGTGGGCGCTGAGGGCGCACCTGGAATGGACACAGAGGAGAACCCCCGAGAGGGAGTGAGTTGGAAGAGCCACACGGGGACATTCTGAAGTTCCAGATAAGTGGCCCCAAAATAAATGTTGAGGGATCTTTACGGTACGGGCTTCAGAGGCTCTGCTTGTCACGAAAACACTGCCACACTTGAGCTGGAATTCTGCGGCCCCTCAGTCGGGAAAGGCTCTTCTGAGAGCTTGGTTTCCTTACCTGCAGGTCAGGGTGGGTCCCCCACCTCCTCCCAGGGCTGCTGTGAGGAGGCAGTGAGGTTCGGTCTGCACAGGACCCAGAACAGGGGCCCTCGTGCTAATTGGCCCCACCTGCCTCCTTTCAGAACCCAGAAACCGCTTTGGTAGAACCCAAAAGTGTAACTCAGACTTCGTTTTCAGGGTTCACCTGTGCGTATCTTGTTCTTTTTACAACGGAATCACAGGATGCTTATTGTCCTCTGTAAATGGGAGGGAAGAGAGCAAACCATGGCACTGGACAGTACTGCCCAGGGCATCTCGAGCTGTGCCCCTGAGCAGGGCCGTACACCGAGGGGCGGGTGTGTATACTTGACAGTGAAGCATACAGCTTCCTGGTCTACTATGGGCTGCAGTGGCAAGATAGTTTTCTTTCTTTCTTTTTTTCTCTTTATTATTATGTTTTTCCTGGTCTGCTGCCTCTGAAAGTCAACATGAGGAATCTTAGAAAAGGACACCCTCTCCCCATCCCCGTGGAGTCTGTGATGGGCGTTAGGCTGCGAACGTCTGAGTGCCCCTAGAAGGATACTCATTTAGTCTCATCAACATTACATGCTTTAAATTTGGCACTGTCACCGCTGGACGTTTCCAGTGCCAGAGCGGGCCCGAAGGGAGCTAAGCCAAAGAAGTCTACCTGTGAGTTTCGTTGCCAACAACCAGGACCGAGTCCCGTGCAGGAGGCTTGCTCTCTCTCTGCAGCTGAGGGACCAAGTAGGAGACACACGATGGCTGAGATTCTCGGACAGTTCAGGGAAGGGGAGCACTCACGCTCCATCCCTGCCTGCCTGCCCTTCTCTGAACCCCACCCCCACACGATGTGTGGGTGACACAGCACAATGGCTTAGATACAGATGAAGCTGGCTGCATAAAAGGCAAGTCTTTATGGAGTCTGATCGAGCCTCCAGTTCTCTGCAATCTGATCAAACCAGTTTTTCCTCTGGACTGGCCAGTCTGAGCTCAGCCTCCTTTGGCAACTCAGAGATGTGGCCAAAAAGGCCAGATGCGTCCCACCAAACTTGCTGTCTTCCTCCGTGGGGCTACCGTGATGACCCACTGAAATGACGCGGGAGAGCACTAGCATGGCACACAGTGGGGCTCCATTAACGCTCACCTTGCTTCTCCGTGAGCTTGTCAATAACAAAAGGAAGCGGGTGGGGCGTCTCTGAATTAGAAGGTCTGATTTGTGATGGCCTTACCTTCGCCTAGCATCCTGCTCAGTGTCTGGTATTCGAGGAGTCACTCAGCAAGATTTCACGAAACAAATGAATGCTGCTGCTTGGAATCTAAGAGGTGCACAATGCCGTCTCTGTTGCCATCACTATTATTAGGCCAGTGCAGCCTCAACGCAGACATCCAGGCACCATTTGCTGGATACACAGGTGGAGACATCCCCACCCATTCTGACCATGAACTGGTTTCCTGGACCAGAGCCAGCGGCAGCTGGTAAACAGGATCACCTGGCTGGAATGCTCCCCCGGACTTCTCACCACAAAGGCGTGTGCTGTGGGGGCGATGGAGCAGCTCTGCCTGCCCCGGGCCCGTGTGTGTGTGTGTGTGTGTGTGTGTGTAGGGGGGGGAGGGGTTTCAGGAAAGGGCAGACACTAAGGCCTATCAGCCTGTCCTTGCACATGGCTGCTCCCTGCTACAATAAAGGCGGGTTAGGAATGTGAACTTGTGTGGCTGAAATGGGGGGATTAAGTTTGTGGCAACCTCAACTGAACTTGCAACGTGGTGAAACATGGGGAAAAAGAACAACAGAGCTAATTAGACGAGCTGAGCTGTCAGAGTGCCGCTGAATGGCTCCGCGCCAACAAACAAAAGGAATGGGCTGGCAATCAGCAGGATCGATGGAGGAGACTGCTTCATTAGGGATGATAAAACAGACAGAGCGGGAGAGGAGGGGGTGGAGAGCAGGGAGGCCGGGAAGGCAGGGGAGGGAGAGAAAGGCACAACAGGCCCGGGGACAGTCGCCTGCATCACACTGTTACAAACACACCCCGAGTCACACACACCTGATTGGTGTGGACAAAGCCAGACACAGAATCACACCCACCGACAACCATCCAGAGACATGCAGAGGCCTCGAGATGCCAACATGTACACGTCTCCCAAACACACACTCTCAGGGGCACACATATAAGAGGCTAAGACACATGCACCAATCACACACACACACACACACACACACACACACACACGGCCGCAGATCCACAGTTAGAGCTGCAACCAGGCAGACACACAGAGGCAAAATGGTTTAATTAAGCCCAAATAACAGGACTGGCTCGTCATATTTCAGCGATCACGTTATCTTTCTGGGGTGCTTAGGAAGGGAGGGGCCGGGGATGAGGGAAGAAACCGCAAGCACACACAACAGCGGTGGCCCCACCCGTGTAAGGATCCCAGCAGCGCCGGGGGAGAAAATGCTAAACAGGGATTTGAGCTCTGTTCAAGGGGGACTTGAGGGGAAAGTTGGGAAACCAGCCAATTCCCCACCGGATTTAAAACCTGAGAAATCTAAGTCGGCAGGGTTAAATGTGTACTGAATACAAAAGCACCGAGCACATTTGATTTTAATGGTGAGCAAGAAGTAATAAATACGAGCTTATAAAGGCTTCACATGCAACCGAGCACAACCTGCCTCTCCCTGCCCGCCCGGGCCGCCGCCCCTGGGTCCATTAGACACAGGCAAGGCTTTCTTCTGCTCTTGCCTTTTCCCACTTTTAAAAAGAAAAATCTAAATCTTCCAGTAGCATCTGAACTCCAGCCACAGGTGCCAGGCTAAAAGCTCCTTCCGGAGAGGCCGAGTGGCTGGCCTGCACACTCCCAGCACCCTGGGCCACGGCTGCACTTCTGCCCTGAACGTTTGCAGCTCGGTGACTGGCAAAGCCCAGTGGGGGCCAGTGGCTCTGGACATGGGCGTTTACCAGACAATCCTCTTGGAGGCCTGTGAGGGGTTCCATATCCTATGTCTTCCAGGCTCACCCCTGTGTGCGGGGTGCCCCCTGGGCAGGTTTGCATGAGTGCACAGGGCCCAAACCAGCCCCCCAGTAACCAGGTTGGCAGAAATTGAGTATATATGAACCCACTTTAAGCCGGGGACTGTGCTAGGCATTAAACATGTATGACCTCATTACCTTCACCAGGTTGGTATTGCTAAACCCATTTTACAGATGATGAAACTAAGGCTCAGAGAAGGTAAACGTCATGCCCAAGTCAGACAGCCAAGAAGTGCCAAGGTGTGATTCAAACCAGGGCAGGTCTCTCTGACTTCCAAGCTCAGGAAAACGGATTCTGCTAGCACCTTCCTCTTCAGTGCATCAGGACCTAGGGGACCAAGGGTGTGCAGCCCCAAGTGTGGGACTAGTCGCCTCCTGCACCAGTCCAGGTCCAGTGGCATCTTTCCTCAGGGCCACATTTGCATCCCCACATCCTTAGCTGGTACTGGAGGTGGCTACCTCTCTAGCCCACTCTGTGTAAGTACCCACACTGGCAAGACAACAGGGAGCCTACGGCAACTGCCTCCCGGGGAGCGTGCCCCTGCCTGCCCGGGGTCCCAGGTCTCTCTTGGGAATGCTGAGTACTGCCCAGCGGAGGACTCTGGCTTAAGGAGAGGCTGCTGGTGAGGAGCAGGGAAGGCCGGTGCAGAGCAACCCTGGGCTCAAGGGACTGGGCCTCTGATAATCTCTGTGGTCTCAGCTGCAACTGGGGAAGCAGCACCTGCCTCCTCTGGCTGTTGTAAAAACAAGCAATGATTCAAGTGCCCAGCACAGTCCCAGGCCCATAGAAAGTCAATGCTAATGCTCTTCACCCTGTGTTCCTGCCAGTACCAATGCTGCCCCAGAGGCGCCACAGAGCCCAGCGGGCTGCTGGGGGTTCTTCCTCAGCTGTAGGCTCTGCCCCTACTCCATGCTGAGATGGACTCCATGGAAACCGAGTGAGTGGCAGGAGCTCGGCATGCTAGGAAGCCACAGGTCCTCAGGTCAGGTGACTCCCAACTGCAGCTGAGGGCCCTGGACCATGTTGCCAAGCATCGGTTTTCTCATCTCTAAACTGGGTTGTGAGAATAAACAAGTCAACTTTTCTGTCAAAGGACAGTTTAGACAGTCGCCATTTTGGACTGCATGACTTGGCAGCCACCATGTTGGCCGCATGACCTGCGGTTCCTCTGGGGGCTGCCATCTTGAAATGGCAAAGTCCAACCCCTCCCTTTGAATTAGCCAATCTCAAAATACTGTGCATCTGAGCTCCAATCAAGAGTGAGGGTCAGGTCACAGGCACCAGGATCAAAAGGCCGAGCAGACCGCATGCTCGGTGTGCATGTGCTCCCAGACCGTATGCTGGGCCCCTCCTGCAGGAGTAAAGGTATCTGGCTGCTGCCTGGCTCCCGAGTCTACTTTGGGTTCTACCAGGACCCCTGAATTTGGGGTTTGTCTTATTTCTTACAGGGTGGAGATGGGGTCTCCTTCATGGTGACTGTGAGGCTCAACAGATGATGGGCCCAAGAATGACTTGCTGCCTAGAAAAGCCCCAGCCAGTGATAGTTATTAAGAAACCACGTCACTCCTTAGAAGTCGTAAGGTTTAAAGACCTGTTACGTGTGCCAGGTACTGTACTGGGCTTTACGGATGTCATCTATGATCATGCTCATGAAAGCCTCATGAATGAGGGTGTATCACAGGGACAGAGTGGGGCTCAGAGCTTAGTGCTCGCCCATAGCCCAGGGCTCAAGTGTTCAAGTCCAGCTCTGTCTACGCCCCCATCCACATTGCTAAGGACTGCACTGAAAGTCACTGCATTACACAGGTCTGACCAGACGCAGCTGCCCGTCCCCACACTGGTTCTCTGTGCTGTTTGTGCCTTTCTCCCTGAGTGAGCAGACACACTCCAGCCCTGGACACTGTACCGATCCCTGAGTGAGTGGTAACGGGAGAGGTCCATCACGATGGCCACAGGCGAAGGCATCTTAGCCTCATAACCTCCACCCTCACCCTCTCACCCCCACACATGGTGGGGGAGGGAAGGGAAAAAGTACCCTGGAACTTCCCACAGCCATACAGAGAGTGGCCACCCCACTAATGCTGCAGGTGCACCAAGGACTAAAAAGACACAGCTCGACCTGGCCACTTGCGCCCCTCGGCTGCCACGCCTTTCCCAGATGGATTGGACATGTGCACTGGGGAGGGCGGGAGGGCATTGACACCAGTCTGTGGGAAACCCCAGTTGCTACTGGGTGGAAACCTGGCCCCTCTTGCTGGGCTGCAGGAGCGGTGGCCGCTTTCAGCACGAGATGGAGGGACTCCTCTCTCGGTAAATGGCCTTCACCAAATGGTCCTGGCAAGTTTCCCTGCTAGAAGGAACCTGCTAGAGTTATTATGCCTGGGCATGGCCAACTCTCAGCTTATAAGGAAAATGACATCACCTTGGCTGAATGCGGGACCCACACTGTATTTTTCCATTGCATTTCTCTAAAAAACAGTGATGCCACATGTCAGCACATGGGAAGGTGAGCTCCAGCTGAGGTCCACCAGAGGAGGAGCACCCGCCTCCATCTGAGCTGCGCCACATTCTTGGGGTGTGGCCTCAGCCCTTGGGAGGGACATCAAATGAATTTCTAAATCCCAATCTGGTGGGACTGAGACTGTGTGGCCAGGCTTTGCGAGAAGAGGTGGTTGGAGCCAGGCTTTGACACACGGCTCAACCTAGGAGATCCGGCTCCTGTGCTACACACCCGGCAAACACACACCAGCGGCCCCCAGCGACCTCCACCTCTGACCTCAAGTCCCCGAACTGCTTCAGAAAAAGGAGAGAGAAGCCCAGAAAATGCAAATTGGGGTTCATGCCACACAGAGAGGGTTTCTTTTGCAAGGCAGCTGAGTTCAAACTCCCGAGGAAGTTTAGTGAGGCGGGGACAGCGGCCCAGGCAGTGTTAGGAGGGAGGGCACAACCACTGGCTACTCACGGGCCTCCAGCGGTGTATCTTGGGAGGCGGCGGGCGAGTGGGACCGAGGACTCTTTGAGGCTGTATTAAAGCGAAACTTAGAACATCAGTACACACAAGATGGTTGATGCATTTGCACACACAGCCTGAGAGCAAGCATCTAGTCCCCCAAGCCACAGCTCGAGGGCCACCCTTGACGCCATCTGCTCCTGTCCCCACATCAACTGGTTGAACCTTGGGTCCTGCACATTTCATTTCTGAGGCCTTCCTTTCTGCTAATTTCATCCTAGCCTCACCCCTGCCTGGATCTCCTCCAGCCATTGTCCACAAAGGCCAAGGGGGACCTTCCAATGTGCAATATGACCATGCTACACCTCAGCCTGGAGACTTCTGCTGCAACTCCCTACCCTCTTCCTCATCTGACCTTGGGTGATGGTGCAACAATGGTCTTGGCTGGCATTCCAAATCCTCCAAGATCTGGCTTTTGCCATGCCCCACACAGATCCTTCTCATGCCTGCTTACCAGGCAGACCCCAAATGGCCCTGAGTCCTCATGGCTTATTTCCTGCCTCCCATCTGGGTGGAATGACCTACCCGATCCTGATCTGCCTGGCAAGCATCTAACTGGCTTTTAAGATTCTGCCCAGGCCAGATGCTGCCTTCTGTGCTCCCTGTTACGTAAGACTTATCACAAACAGGAAGTAGCTGCCCCGTCTCCCTTTATCTTTCTTTTTTTTAAATATTATCAAACTTATTTGGGATATTGGTTAATAAGATTACATAGGTTTCAGATGTACAATTCTATAATACATCATCTTTATATAGCGTTGTGTGTTTACCCTGCAAAGTGCAGTCTCCTGTCACAGTACATTTGACACCATTATCTTTCAAATGTTTAAATCCTGTGCCTTGGAAGAAAATATATGCTCAATAAATGTCTGGTGAACAAATAAAATTTGTACAAAATGCTTGGCTTTTGAAATCAGAATTTGGATAAAAAACAGAAGAGCATAGACTTCTTGGCTCTACTCTCAAGTCCTTTATCTTGAGAGTCAAGCTCTGTTCTTTCAAAGGCCTGCCCATGCAGATGCCCCGAGGAGTGTGGGAGACCGGTAGGCAGAGTCAGAATAAAAGCCCACACAAGACTGAGACCTGGGACTTCAGCAAACCCTGGGAGGTTTCCAGTAGCTTCCTGCTCATCCACTCACGCAGTTCATGAAGGTACATCATTATTTGACAAAGCCTAGACCTGCACTGCCCACTTCAGGAGCCAATGGCCATGTGTGGCGAGTCCGATTTAAGGCATACTGTAATGCCCTGGCCAGTGTGCTCCCACCAAAGGGTCATGGTTTGATTCCTGGTCAAGAGCACATACCTGGTTACAGGTTCAATCCCTGACGCCAGTTGGGGTGCTTTCGGGAGGCAACCAATCAGTATGTCTCTCTCACATCAATGTTTTTTATTTCTTTCTCTCTTTCCCTCCCTCCCTTTCACTCTCTCTAAAATAACAACAAAACAAAACAAAAAAGATATGCTGTAAAAGTAAAACACACACTGGATTTCAGACTAAAAAAACAACTTTTGAAAAAAGAATATAAATATCTCAGTTTTAATAATGATTATGTGCTGAAATGGAAGTATTTTGGATATTTGGGTTAAATATGTAAATTCCACATGTGTCTCACATGTGTGGCTCCCATGCCATTTTTCTTGGACAGAGCTTCTGGCTGAAGGGATTCTTCAGGAACAAACCTCAGAGGTCATTCTCTGATGCGGCTCCTGGAGGGGGGTTGGGGGTGGGGGCTGTGTGTCCCAGGCCTCCCTGGATCTCCGGCCTGCAGAGGGCCTATCAGAGTGGCCCATGGGGAAAATCTGCTGAGAGACTTGGTGGAGAAGTGGGGTCCTCATGGCACACTGCGAGCTCATCTGGATGGAAATGTACTGACTTTCCAGATCCTGTGCCTGAGCGGGGAGTGTGGGCAAGCCCTGCTCAATGAGCCCTCTTCAGTTGGAGGCCATCTGGGACTGATGCCACCCACTGAGCCTCCCAACATACACAGCTCATGGGGGGCAAGCAGGACAGAGAATGGGAGCAGAGGCCGCTGTCCCTGTCCAGATGCCCAGCTCTCACCCCCTCCTTGCCATCTGCCTGGCCACTCTACTCCTCCAGCTCTGTAGCCCTCACTGCTCGGCACCTGTGACCTGGCCATCTCCCTTCTTGCCGGCAGGGAAGGCAGTGTGGCCGAGTGCTCAGGAGGCGGCCTCTTGGACTGAGCCTCAGCCTCCATCTGCCCTCTGGGTTCCTAGGGCTGGTGATTTTTAACCACCCAACCTTCCATTCCTCATCAGTCTGTGCAGGTAATGGTTCTCCTTCCACGAGGGGGCTGTTAGGAAGACTCAATGAGATGATGTTCGCCAAGTTCTCCCCACAGCGCCCCATCAGAGACATGGGCAGGTTTCCCTGCCTCCAGCCGCTCCCCCTCCCAACCCATCATCCACACTTGCTCCAGAGTGGACTTAAACAGAACACGACACATGCCCAATCATGCCACTTGTCTGCTTAAATCATCTCGCTGGAAGGCTGGTGTCTCCCAAGGTGTCGTCTGAGAAACACCATCCTAGGAGACGCACCGTATGAAGGGAGAAAGGGGGGTTTCTAGCCAGACAAGTCTAGGAGATGCTGTCTACTGCCTTGTCCCCTTTGGAGATTCACAATGACTGTTAGTGCAGCAAAGGAAGTCTTTGCAATACAAAAAAACATTGCCCCCACCTCAAAAAAATAAAAAAATAAAAATACACCCCCCCCCAAAACCCCCCATCCTAACCAGGGAAAACCATATTAACTCTCTTTTTCTTTTCTCTTTTTAATACTTTCATTAGCATTATATTATGAATTTACTTCGGGGCCATAAGGTTTTGTTTCTTCTGGGACATCTTTTTCTTCTGTGTAGCCTCCTTTCCTGGTTTTGGAACAATTTGCTGTTTTTCAGCAGCATCCTCTCAGTGTGGCAGGGAGGGCTGTGTGTGGGTTAATCCGCCCATGAACTTGGTTCATTCTGCACTGCATCTTGGGAACTTTGTGCACCTGGATATGCTTAATGCCCAGAGAATCTACATCTAAACCCTTAAGTCCAGCATTACTCTCTGCATCTTAAAGCATATACAGCAAAAATTCAGCAACCTTTTTGGGCCACCGCCCTGCCCCACTGTATAGCCTGGGCACAGGTACCAACCCCACCACTGTAACGACGGCATGGCACCCATTGCTTTTGTGAAGTGACATCCTTCAGAGACTTGGAGGCGTGTGGATATGCATGTCCTTGGCAGCCTGTGCAGTTTCACAGCTGTTCTTAAGTGAACATGTAGAGTTGAACCTGTTGATTTGCATGATTTTGTGGGGTTTCTGGGTCAAGTGAATAGCGAACCATTTTCAGAGGTCACCTCAGGCCACTGTCAGTAAGAAACTCCTTTTTTCTTTTTTTTTCTTTTTTTTAAAATATATTTTATTGATTTTTTTACAGAGAGGAGGAGAGAGGGATAGAGAGCTAGAAATGTCGATGAGAGAGAAACATCGACCAGCTGCCTCTTGCACACCCCCTACCGGGGATGTGCCCGCAACCAATGTACATGCCCTTGACCGGAATCGAACCCGGGACCCCTCAGTCCTCAGACTGACGCTCTACCACTGAGCCAAACCGGCCTCGGCAGAAACTCCTTTTTTCTTAAAAGTTCTGTTTCCCCAGTTTATTTGATGACAGATTCACTTTCCCTATAACACCCGGTGAATGTTATGCAGGGGAGCCAGGAGCCCTTCCCAAGGGCAGAGACTCTGCTCTTTTCTTCTCTGCACCCCAGCCTCCAGCTCACGGCACCCCCCCCCCCCCCCCAGCCTCTTCCCATGGCTCTACTGGCAGAAGGTATACCTTTGGTGGGCAAGGAAGCAGACTAGAGAGAGGTCAAGTGACCTGCTCAAGCTCCCCACTGGGAGCACATGGATCTGGTCCCAGGCCTCCTGACTGCGAGTCCAGTGTGCTTCCCATGGCTGGAAGAGGCGGCAGCCACCCCAGAAGCAGAGAACAGAGAGGCTCTGTGTGATCCTCAACTGGCTCAATGGGTCAAAACATGGCTGCACTGGTTGTTCCTTAAGTGATCAAAGGGCCGTAAGAAGGGTTTCATTTCACAATTCACGTGGCACTGCCTGAGCAGGGCTGTGACGGGACTGTGGGTTTCCATGACCCACATAAGCAGCCGCCCTCCTGAAGGCCATAGTCATGGGGAAGCAGATTCTCTCTACAGGTGGATGGATTCCTCCCGTGTACTTTTAAGGAACAACTATTTGGGATCAGGGAGCAGGGATTCAGGAGAAGTCATAGCCTTTGACTATGACCTAATGGGACTTGTCCTACATCACAGAAAGATGACTTTCTGAGAGGACAAAGAATATTTGGGTCAGACAGACATGGGCGCACACCTTGGCTCTGTCGTTTTCTAGCTGCATTCAGTATTGGCTCTGCCACTTGGGTGACTTATTTGAACTAAGCCTCAGTTGATTCCTATTAAAACAGAAATAACTCTTGAGTCACAAGCCCTGGTGTGAGGATGCTGCGGGCATGTAATATAGTCATGGAAGGCTCTGGCCCGGAATCCTCAAGAGGAAATGGGACCACCCAATCTTCTCCTCCTGTTGGACCCACATGTCTTCCCAGAGTAGCCCTGTGGATGCGAGGACCTTGGTTTTCCAAGGGAGTGCACTGTTAGTCAAGCACTGTTGAAGGAGACTGGATTTTAATAGTAATCTCTTCTATTTATACGACGCGTTTCCCTTTCAAAGCTTTTCTCCTTCTCCTCTTTCCTTTGAGCCTCACATCCCCTGGTGAGGCAAGTTAGAGAATAATTATTTGCCTGCTATAAAGAGAGGAAACAGGAGGCCCAGAGAGGTGAAGGGACTAGTTTGAGGTCACAGAGCTAGTATTCTCAGTCCATTGTGCTATCCTTGTCAACCCAGATTTCCAAAGTCATGTGAAGTCCTCCTGACACGGCTTTTCTAATCCTCGTCCTGTCTGAAGTTAGACTCTGCTGTC